CATGCAAAATTTCTTCAGAGTCAGATGTACAAAACAAAATTTCGAGGATATTCGACTCAGTACACAATTTGAGACTGATTTGGTTTTTTGAGCAATAATATATCTGACACAAAAAAAGTTTCACCATCTTGATTTGCAAATCCTAAATTTTCCACCTAAGGGGATATTGGAATACTTTGATTCACTTTCATCTCTGTGTCCTGTATGAAAAATAAGTACAAATCTTCATGGAATTCTCATTTGAAATGGAAATTCCTGACCTAAAGAAGCTTAATATTCATCACAAAATAATATTTCCCAATCACTTTGTGTCTTCCAGCGCTTTTAGCAGGTAAACACTATTATTAAAAGCAATACTTGATAGAATTGTACGCGTAAGTATCTCAAGTGCACAAGAACAAATCCGATGAACATAAAGGAGTTGAAAGGGGTTGAATAATCTAGAGTTCAACATCTGCCCTCAAGGCACATGATGAAATTATAACCTAGCATCAAAACTGCGCATAAATATAGAAAAAACCTGAAAAGAAAGTGACAACATTAGCGCATTTTGGCAAGCGCGAAACTCTGAGTTTGACAATTTAAATATTCAAAAACTTACGTTTTAATCGAATTATCGTCTTTTCCGTCTCCTCTCTAAAACAAATATATTGATATAATGCCCCGGTTCAAAGATGAAATTACTGACTCTGCTATCCTTTTGCGCCTTCTGATTTCCTCCCACGAAAAGTTAGGTTGGGTGTACGGTAGCAATATTCCGTCTCCTACCTGGAAATCCTACAATACCCGTGCTCTTAGTGTTATTATCTCAAAATACTTTTCTCTTTTCATCTTCTTGTCTCGGCGGTCCTATCATCATTGCTGTGCCTAGATAAAGTCGCACGCAGGTTTATAGCAAGATTTTTGAAATTTCTGAACTCACACGCAGGTGTTTTTGGTTTGTGGACAAATTTGTCGAGAACAATGGTGTGGTCATCAGCTAAATATAACTCAGAATGGATTCCAAACTTATCGCTTTCGAAAGTTCCCACAGGAACTCCATAGTAGGGCTGATCATCGCTGGCTGAAAAATTTCTACTCTTACTTTCTTTTCACTCACTGTTTCAACCATTACTCACCTTCCGTCAAGAAAATGGTTGTGAAGAAGACGGCTGTAAAAGTGAAAACTCTCATAAAAGAAGAACGAAGGGAGAGTTGAGTTGACTTGTGATAGCTACTAGTGAAATGCGCGACAAATGCGATTTATCATTAGGTCAGTGGGTTATGGTCAACACTTTTACCATCGATGATGTGTCATATTCCATGAAAAGTTATATCTGTAAAGCTTGATCAAGTATCAAGTGGTACCAATACTGTTGCAGTGAAAGTTACGCATTCAAATAATAAGTCTTTTCCGAGTAGACAAAATAGGTGTACTGTACATCTTCCGGTATAGGTAGAGGCGAAACAAGCTTCATAGTAGCTCTTCATTAGTTTATTAATTATTGTGTATGTTCTGCTATCAAAGGCATTCCCATTGAAGTTCTCGTCTGAATCAAAAGAAAAAAAACTGATTTGAAACACTTTTTTTCATATCGCAGTGGCAATAGACAGAACGATGTTCAATAAGAATCAAGCTTCAGTTTGCAGAAATGGCAAGAACTTTCATACTTTTCTGTAGTTGATTTCCAATTTAAGATCTCCTAGTGGATAACATTCAAAGCTCCAAATAGCAGATCACAAGAGTCCAAAAGCGCTACCGCATAGTCCGAGATTTTGCGAAACTTTGGAGTACAATTTTTAAAATTGAAG